ATAATGTTGATTTTGATGAGAATCATAAGTAAGAGTACCTGGATAAGAAGATAAGAAGCCGCGAGAGGGAGAGGCGAGACGGAGAGAATGAGACTGGTGCCTGGTAGTGGTGGAAGTCGACGACTACTGGTGGGCGGTGGCTGCTGGTTTAGGCGTTAGGGTTGGGTTTCTGTGATTTTGATTTTTGTCGTTAGGCGTTAGGGTTGAGAATGAGACTACTGGTTTCTTTGGATTAGGAGGAGTGCATTAGTTTTACTGTTTTAGTCTTAGAAAAAGATAGACTATAGACTATAGAGACAGAACAAAGATGGGTNGGATTATCCGTTAAGAAAATTGAATAATCCGCCCCAAACCGATAAGCCGTTAATAAAAAAAATTTAATCTGTTCCCCGTCCGTTAAGCCGTTACCAGTAAGCCATTAAGCTTCGGTTCGGTTCGGTTTTCGGTTTCAGATCGGTTTTGAATAGCCCTACCCAAGACCATAGAAACGACGTAGTACGGGAGTGGAACTATGTCATTTTGAGTTCATAAGCTTTAATAAATCCTGGCCTTTCATCTCGTTTCATCTAACGACCTAAAACACTTCTCTATTCTCGTTTAAGACTGTCCAAAATTCCTCAGAGACGGTCAGTTCCCAAACATCCTTCACTTCATCTCTAGGAGCCCTAATCTGCCACCCTAAAAGCTCACCATCATCGCTGGTGGCTGCGCAGCTTTGCACCACCTTACCCGCCTCAAAATCACATCATAGAATCCCCGTCGTCCTCTCATGCCAAATCCATAACCCGTTCCTATCAAATCGCCCTTAAACCCTTCGAATCTAAGATCGAAGGTCGGGCACTTGAATCTTAAACTACCCAAATTCACTCAAATTTGCACCCTCACAGTCACTACGTCTCTCCAAACCCAAAACTCTAGATTATTTGCCTGAATGAACCTAGATTTTTCCGAGTTTGGGATCTAGGGCTAAATATGATTTCAAAACTGGAGTCGAGTTGAAGTCCTTTGCTCGTCTGGGTTTGAAGCTCGCCTTGATAGGGAATTCTTGTTTGAGGGAGTTCGTTAAGACGAGTTTCTCACCCTTGAATAGTAGTTCGAGTTGGCCAGTAGATTCGCCTCTATTTTCATCTACTGTGGTTAGTCATTTTGTTTTCTTTCTTTTCTTTTGATTGCGTTGTCTGTATTTGTCCTCTCCGGTGTTCTTCTTCTCTCTTTCTTTTCTTATTCAAATATGTTTGCATGATAGGCCTTTGAATCCGTATGGTTCTGCATTGGTCATTTCTAAATTCCTCTGATTAATCTTTGTTACAATTCTGTGGTTTAGTTTGATTTGGCCCATTGTTTGTTTTAATTTCATTGAGTCAGATTGTGGCTGCTTTCTTCTTCTTCTTCTAAACTTGTCGTGTGTTGGTCTCTGTTTGGCTTAGGCCTTCATTACATGCAGACAGGCCCATTAGATGAGGCCCAAAAGGTTGTGGGGGAAGTTTTGGGTCTGCCAGTCGTTTAATGGGTTCCAAGTTTCAGATATGGGTAGGTAATTATCAGTAGTTTAAGGGTAAATTGTAGCTGTTTAAGGGGTAGTTCATGGAAATTGGGCAAGGGAATCTTTTGTAACTGCATTGGGAAGCTTCTAGGAAAGTGGGGGAGGGGATTGGCTTGCAAAAACTGATTTGAATTGGGGTTTGAACTGAAATAATGAAATTGGGGAAAGGGGTGAATGATAATTAACAAAGTTATTACTGCTGCCCTAAAAATCCCTCTATAAAGTCCCCATTTCCTGAATTTTTGAGGGGGATCAGACTTGGAAAGATTAGAAACGGCTGAAAACAAAAATACCAAAGGGGTTTGAATAATCAGAAGAAAATACAAAGACAAATCACAAAATTACTATTACATTGAAGTTTTTTCTGTAATTCTTGGTGGTTTTCAAATCTTGAAGTAATTTCTGATGTATTCTGGGCTCGAAATGGTTTAAGGAAGTGGGATTGGTTGTTGTTGATCTGCTGATTTGCACTACTACACTGCTGCTGATTCCTCATCTTCTCTTGCTTTAATTTCTGTCCCCAGGTACTTCTCAGACCCCCATGAATGTATGAAATGTGAGCTTGAAGCCATGTAATCGACTGGAAGCCCAAGATGCACATTAGTCTCCTGACATTGAATATTAAATGTATTTTCTTAAAAGTTTTGTATTAATTTAGTACATCTACGGTCCATTACGTTCATTCATGTCATTAAGATTTACTATGAATTCATTTATAGTTTCATGTTGGATGGCTTGCAAAAAGAACACCTCTTGTCGGGGTTTATTTAAATGCATTTGGTTTAAAAGCTACTCCATGCTTAGTATAATATGTATTCCTTCATGTTGCTACTTTGCAAATTTGGCTTAAGCTATGTTTTCTCCATCTATCAGCTTGTTATTTTAGTTCTTAAAGAATTGAAGTGTGTTTGACTAAGTGAGCTGAATACCTTTCTCCTAAAACTGAAATTCTGTGTCTGTTATCTTAGTAGTACAAGTTTCTTGACATCTGGTGGAAATTTTGGTATGTGTCTTTGGTTAAAAATAAGTTTTCTTGGTTGAATATGTGGAAGTTTCATTATAAGTTAAAGTCAAATTACATATGGAGTCACAGACCTCTTAATTCTTCCGCTGAGTGAATTTTAGCTTTACTCCTGAAAGTTATGTTGTGGTCAGTTAGTCTAGGACATTTGACCATGTTCTTTGTTTATGGACTTGACAGTAGTTTAGCATGATTTGAGAATGTTTCCTTAGATTGCTGAGCGATGAGATTGTTAAGTTAATTTTGCAACATAATGTTGAATTTTGAAAGTTAGTGTTGGCAAACGTACTTAAATGCTGGATGCTGAATTATGAGGTTAATGTTTGAGCAAATATAGTGGGCTCGTTGCTGGCCCAAATCCTTTTATGTGATTGAAGGTGCCTAGTATTATCAAACACGGGCTTATAACTGGTAAGGGCAATTTGAACATTAATTTAGAGTAAACCCAACTTTTGGACCTCTTTTTAGTTAGTTAAGTATTGCCCTTCACAATTAGAAATCGAGGTGTGCCACTGGTGAATCTTCCATGGCCCTCGCCAACTTGAAAACGCGTAGGTGCTTTAGGCGCGTAATTTTAAATTAACTTCCTTAAACTCGGGTGTGCATTTCATGTGATCCAAATCCATATCTCAACAACGTTAGATAAAATATGTTGCGGATCACGGGTGCATTTCATGTGGCGTGATCCAAAGCGTGTTTTAAATAGCGTTGAATCTTCTTAAAAATGAACAAAAGCGGTTAATAAATCAAAATCTACCATATGTTAAAATACGTGTTAAAATCATATAAATAAGCCAATTATAACAACTGAGCGACCGTGCTAGAACCACGGAACTCGGGAATGCCTAACACCTTCTCCCGGGTTAACAGAATTCCTTACCCGGATTTCTATGTTCGCGGACTATAGTACAGAGTCAATCTTTCCTCGATTCGGGATTTAAAACCGATGACTTGGGATACCATAAATTATCTCAAGTGGCGACTCTGAATAATAAAAAATAATCACGTTTCGATTGTCACTTTAAATTGAAAAAAACTCTCTTATATACCTCCCTTTCAGGAGGTGTAGGAAAAAAAGGAGGTGTGATATCTACCATTTCTCTTTTCTGTTAATTTCGATAGAAAAAATTAAGAAATGAATTTTCAGACTCGTACAGAAAATGATATTCTATAAAGGAAGAGAAAGGTAAAGAAATAAATGAAGCAGTAGTTTGCAGAGAATATACAGTTCGATCTTGTATAAGGAAAATGATTTATAAATGCAGGCAACCACCAAGCATGACTGGAGCAACATATCTAAATATTTATTATCTATCCATCGGCAAGTCTGCCATTTCTCATTATTGATTAAATGATTAAACTCTCAATTATATTATATATACTAATAATATAAAGATTTTTTGTACCATTAATATAATATATAATGCATTAATTACTTGTAATTATCTTATAATGACATGAATATGCAATTCATTTTGTACCTAACCCCAATAGTCCTGCCTCCATATATGTAGTATCACCAACTCTTTTCTTAATGATTTTTTCTTTTGGCAAATTAAATTATAAAATTGATCGGTCGATTAAAATTAATTGTATTCACTAACCAAAAAATATACTCCCTCCATTTTAATTTATGTGAACCTATTTTCTTTTTGGTCCGTTCCAAAAAGAATGACCCCTTTCTAAATTGGGAAACAGTTTAACTTAAACTTCTAATTTTACCCTTAACGAGAAGCTTTTATAACCACACAAATACTCTGGCCCCTTTTTGACTTGTTTAGGACTACAAATTTCAAAAGTCTTTATTTTTTTCTAAACTTCATGCACAGTCAAATAGGTTCATATAAATTGGAACGGAGGAAGTATATATAAAATATATATTTTTTTAACTATTATCTTTTGAAATGCCTAAAAATATGTATTTCTCTATTTTCTTCGCAAGGGAACCCCTAGCCCACCCACCCAAAATGTTTTATTGATTGGATCACATGGATGGTTATTTACGAGCTTCGAGACAATTCCATAAAAGCATGTTAGTGACAGCTAAGTTTTGTAACAAACACCTACATTGGATAAGCATGGTCATGTTTATTCTTATGTATTTCCTATTTCCCTTATAACAAAAAGATGCTCGCAGAGGGCGAAGTCTCAATTTTAAGTTTATGAGTTCGATATTATAGTTCGTTTAAGTTATTAGGTTTTAAATTAATAATTTATATATATTTAATATATTTTTTAATTAAAATAAATATATAATTTTAACCACAATTATTGAATTCGGCTGAACCCGTGTCCTGCATGCTAGCTCCACCCCCTAGATGCTCGTACCACCCTATAGTATACTACAGTGCAAAACTCATGAATTGCATTAATTGACACCATATTTTATTCTTATATTTGCAGTATATATAGGCTGACAAAAGGGCTCTTCAAGTCATCCAAAAGCTTTATTTGCTATCTGTCTATTAATTTGTTTCTTAGAAGAAATTATTTATTCTCTGAAAATGCCTTGCATAGCTTTGGGACGTTTTGACGATTCATTCAGCTCAGGGTCTATTAAGGCTTATATTGCTGAATTTATCTCTACGTTGCTTTTCGTCTTCGCCGGAGTTGGTTCCGCCATTGCCTACAGTTAGTAACTCTCTTCGTTTCTTTCATTTAATTAATTATTTATTACTACTAATACTTACTTATGAACTCAAATACGTACATTACGTACCTTTGTTTACGCTGAAATATTTTTTTGTTAATATTTTACGTAAAGTTTCTTAACGAGAAAGTAACGCTCACTTTTAAGTCATAATGATACCATGTATAGAACAATTACTAACATGTAAACAAAAAGTATATACATTCAAACCTCTTGATAATATCCTCATTTGTTCCAAATTTTTTTGATTGTTATAGCAAAAGTATTGTTATAGAGGACATATATTATAACAAAGCGTAAAAAGTGATTTTTATAGAAAACTTGACTTTGATGGTGAATGACTGTCATATAACATCATGATGTTATATATAGACAAGTGTGACCGTAGAGCTTTTACAACACCTATTATATACATATATAATAGGCGAAATTCATACGGAGACACTTAAAGTTGACACGATCTTTCATTTAGACACTTGAACTTAAGAGAGTTCCTATTGAGCATTTATACTACNAGGCGAAATACATACGGAGACACTTAAAGTTGACACGATCTTTCATTTAGACACTTGAACTTAAGAGAGTTCCTATTGAGCACTTATACTACCCGAAACTTATTCCAATTGAGCACTTCTTGCTGAGTTGGCACATAAAGTGAATTTCACCCGATATAGGCGCGTGAAGACCCAAAAAAATAGATTTTTTCTTTTTTCTTTTTTATTTCCTTCATCTTCTCCCTCAGAAACAAAACAGATCTGCGTCTCTTCACTGCCAGAATTCGGCAAGAGAAACCGGCGACCTCATCCTCTCCAAAAAACCAACGAGTTCCCCTCTTCTTCTCCCGTGCTGGTCACAGAAAAGATTCCAAAACCCTAGGAAAACGATCTGGGTTCCAACGAGCTCCCCTCTTAACAAGAGTTCAATGTTCTTCAATTTTTGATTTTTTAATTTTTATTATTGGATTTTAATTTTTCTTGTAAATCCTGGATTTGATTTAAGGTTGGAGAAGTCAAGAGCAGGAGCCGCATCCCCTTGTTGCAGAGAACTGCAATTAAATGAAATCCACCATTAATGGGTCTTTAAAAAGCTTGAAGGTTTAAAATGGGTTACTTGATTTGATGAAAATTTGGGAAATTAATATTGGGGTTGTCTTCGGGTTGTCGTGGGGAATGTTTAGCTGAAGTTATAACAAATTTGGTGGAGTTTCTCTTTAAAATTTGGATTAAAATCATGCTTGGAACAAGAACATACATGAAAATTATGAAGAACACCAAGACCACTAATTATTTTGTTTATTAAATAGATTTAACATAGTTTTTCCTTTTTTTTTACTCAAAATAATATATGTCCTTTTATTATTCTTCATTCGCCACGTCAGTCGCGAGTGCATTTCACAAACTTTGTAAGTTTGGCTGATTGTCAAATAAGTGCTCAATTGGAATAAGTTTCGGATAGTATAAGTGCTCAATAGGAACTCTCTTAAGTTCAGGTTTCTAAATGAAAGATCATGCTAACTTTAAGTGTCTCCGTATCCGTATGTATTCCGCCTGTATAATACTATGTGACAAGCGTAGTTTGACACTCTGATATCGTAAGTAACTTGTTATAGCAGGTAAAACTACGTTACTCCTTTGGGCATTTTGGCTTTGATTGTTATTCTAAATAAATTTGTACTTCAATTATATTAAAATGCAGACAAGTTGACAGCAGATGCTGCTCTTGATCCGGCGGGACTAGTAGCAGTTGCAGTTTGCCATGGATTGGCTCTGTTCGTGGCGGTTGCTATTGCCGCTAACATCTCCGGTGGTCACGTTAACCCTGCGGTTACTTTTGGTTTAGCTCTTGGCGGTCAAATCACCATTATTACCGGCTTGTTCTACTGGATTGCTCAGGTTTTGGGCGCCATTGCAGCTTCCTACCTCCTCAAATTTGTCACTGGAGGACTAGTAAGTCCTAATCATATAGTATTTCTTAAATATACTTAGCTAGCTTAGATTTTGTTGTAACTTAAAAAAAAATTGAAGTTGTGCTGAACGTAATTTTTAAAAATTAAAATTGTGTTTGGACATATATTTTATTTGAAAAAAATTAAAATTTTATGAGTGCAAGAAAAAATTTCACTTAAAAACTGCCCTAGACCATTTTTTGGGAACTTGAAAAAAGTTTTCAATTTTTTTTTTCAAAAACTAATCAAATTCCTTGAACAAACAATGTTTCAAATATTTTTTTGGAAAAAAGTTGCCAAAATCTATGTCTAAATGGATCCTTACTTTGGATGTGTGCGAATAAAATCTCAAGTAGAAAGTAAAAAAGAAAGTGCTTATAATAAGAAGTCGATAATCTTAACGGTGTGAGGTCTTTGGGAAAACCATGTGAGTTTGGCTCAAACCAGACAATATTATATCATATTGAGGGTGTGTTTGGCATGAAGGAAAATATATTTTCGGAAAATGTTTTCCCATGTTTGGTTGACTTAAATGTTTTGGAAAATATTTTCCCCATGAACTCATTTTCCTCCCTGTGAAGAGAAGGGAAACAATTTTCCAAAACTCTTTTTCAACTTTCTCCGTCCCTACCAACCCACCCCACCCCACCCCTACCCCCACCTTAAATAAATGTGTTTAGCCAAATATTTATATCCTAATTGTCATTTTATGTAACAGAATTTGATATTTATGGTTAAATCAATATGTCAGGCTGTTCCAATTCACGGCGTGGCAGCAGGAGTGGGAGCAACTGAAGGAGTTGTAATGGAAATCATTATCACCTTTGCATTAGTGTACACAGTGTTCGCAACAGCAGTTGACCCAAAGAAGGGAACATTGGGCACCATTGCACCCATTGCCATTGGTTTCATTGTTGGTGCTAACATCTTGGCTGCCGGTCCATTCTCCGGTGGTTCAATGAACCCGGCCCGCTCTTTTGGTCCAGCTGTGGCCAGTGGTAACTTCGCTGGAAACTGGATTTACTGGGTTGGACCACTAGTTGGTGGTGGTTTGGCTGGTTTAACTTACAGCAATGTGTTCATGAACTACGACCACGCCCCTCTCGTTAGTGAATTCTAAAAAATTGTTTGAATTTGATTGTGTTGTGAACTCCGTTTGCCTTTTGTAATAAAAAGGAAGACAAGCAATACTAACATATTGCTGATTCTTTCTTTTTTCATATTTACCTATTTGTATTGTTTTTCTTCTTCCTTTTAAGCCTTTGTAAAGATCCATCCAACTTTGATGAAATGTTCGAAATGATGCATGAGATTTGATGAGATTGCTTTCATTCATTGATATTGGTGTGCTTTATATTTTGAAATTGTGTTTAATGTTTATGTAATAATGATATAATCTTTTTATAACAAGTACAATAACTCATCAACAACAACAACCTAGTGAACTCTCACAAATGGGGTCTGGGGAGGGTGGTGCATACACAGACCTTATCCCTACTTCAGAGGAGTAAAGAGGCTGTTTCCGGTAAACCCTCGGCACAAGAAGGAAAGAGACAGTGTATCAGTAACAGCGAAGGAATCCAGAAAATAACACTAGTAACGCAATAACTAGAAAATAGGGAGCAAAGTAATAATACCAAGCAGTAACAAAGGCACAGTACTACAGACGCAAGAGAATAATAAGGACACAAGGACCACTAAACATATTACAACCTAACCTACGACCCTAATGAAGTGTTAAGAACACAGCTGAGCCACTAGCAGCCTAAAACAAAACACTATCATACTAACCTTCTATCTCCTAACCTTCAACCCTAATGCTCAACCTTCACAACTTTCTATCAAGGGTCATGTCTTCGAAAATCTACATCCGCACCATGTCCTGCCTGATTACCTCTCCCTAATATTTCTTAGGTCGCCCTCTACCTCTTCTCATCCCCGTCAAGGCCAACCGTTCACACCTCCTTACCGGTGCATCCAGGCTTCTCCTCCTCAAGTGTCTAAACCATCTAAGCCTAGCTTCCCGCATCTTGTTTTCATGGGAGCCACACCTATCTTTACCCGGATATTTTCATTCATAATCTTATCCAGCCTAAGTACAATAACTCGGTAAGATTATTTAACTTTTATACACCGATAACGTAAAAGAATTTTTACACTATTGGATAGTTACATGTAACCACCAATAAGTAACTTGGCAAATAAGCTTAAACTACACTTCTTTTACACCACGTAAGTGCACATAAGTAAAATGATAAATTGACTCTAAGTGAAATTAGTAACTTACAAAATAAAGCAAATAATTTGCATATAAGTCAAATGTATTGATATTCGTGAATCGTGATACAGTAGTAGCAGTACCTTTATAGCTTTTGGAGACAGTGTCTCTTATTTAGACTTTCCCGAATTCACGTTTGGTAATGAAAACAAAGTGTGATTAATAATCCAACAAACAGATCGATGCTAATCGTTATTAAAGGGTATATAAATATGCCAGTTTTATTTTGTCAATAACTGTTGACTTTTGGCTTAATGATTGATTATCTTGCCAAATAAACACTTCCTAACATTATGATCCACTCGTCATGTGAGCTGTCTTAGCTCGAGTCTGGGTACTGCCTTTGTATTGAACTGTCTTCAGTGCTAGGAAGTAGCATTATATTATTATAGAAGGGGCAATTATTAGAACTTAAGCTTTTGGGGCACCATAAAGTTTTATCTTTTTAGCCCGTTTTAGTGCTCCATTAGCAACTTCCACCAAAACTATACAATATCCCCAAAAAAAAGATCGTTATGGAAATTGAGCAAAGCATCCTACAAATTCAGTAGCAAATACATTAATGTAATTTGAAACAAATAAAAGAAGAAAATCGAAGATAGTCGTTAATAAGTTTGTTTCTCTGTTTACCCTAAAATCCGAGTGACAATTAAATTTGTATTGAGATCTTAAAGATATGTGATTTAGTCCAATATCAATTGATAATCAAAGAATCAAGCGTATAAATTAAAGAAATAAGTTGAATCAAACCAGTAGACAAGCCAGTCTCGACCTCGAGCTAAGGTGACCTCGAGGTAGGTTAGTAAGAACAATAAAGCTAAAAGACAATTCTGATGAGCAATAAGCAAGAAAGTGAAGAATGTATATTGTCTTGTCAATGATTGATGCGTTACAAATGATTGGGATCCCATTTATATAATGAGGGAATCCTAATAAGGTACACTTCTAATTGTCGTAAGGAATCTTATTATACAGTTGTCTAACCGCCTAGTACAAATCCGTTCCGAAATTTACGCCGTGATCTCAGGGCCACAGATGTCTAACGGTACTATTTCGAGGTTGGTCATACTTGGCTTCGGTGTTCAACAAGCACTTCGATCTTCGAGCCTTGTACTCCGCCATCGGACTTGAGCCCGGTCTATCTCGTACTTGTTCTCGGAGCGACCCCTCGAGTCTACGAAATTGGGCATGCCTGATTTCAATGGTACACATATAGTCCCCACGTTTCTTAGAGTTAGACGATAAGAAACGATTTGAGCCTTGATTTTTCGGAGCCCCTGATGATGATGTCATCCCCGTGACGTATGCACTCGAAGTGATCAAAGTGTCCTAGCGGTTCGTTTTCCCAAACATTAAATATTTGCCAGTGGCGGTCGGGCACTAGCGCCACCGAACCGTTGCCGCTTGCCTAGAAATACAAGGCCCCTTCTTCGAATTGAGAACTTTACTTCCATCTTTAAACCTCCTCCTAACTTCTCTGATATCTCCCCTCCTCTTCATTTCTTTCTCTTACCATCTGCTACTTCTGCCTTTTTAACACCGAAAAACACAAAACTCCGCCTCTTTCCGCTTCTCTAAACCAAAATCAATGGCGAAAACCTCTAAAGCAGTTCCCCAAAAGGAGAAAGCTTCATCCTCTTCTTCCCATTCGGCCAGTGACAAAGCGTCAGCCCTTCACGAGATCGTACTCAGTGCCTGCATCATAAAGAAAAACTTCAGAGTTGAAAATCTCCCCCGCGGTTCCTGGCCAATGTGAGCATGCATCGAGGTATATCTCTTCGATGACGGAGAAACACCTCGAGGCTATGAAAAAGGATTGTGGCTGGGGAATGAGGTCGTGGTACAGATCCCTACCCCCGAGGAGAGTATCACCACTCATGTGGAGGGGTTCCTAAGTGTTTACACTTACCCCTTCACACTGGGTCCCCTCGATCCAATCGTGATCGACTTCTGCATAAGATATCAAGTCACCCTCGGCCAGATCCACCCTTCTTTCTGGCGCATAGTGATAATGCTTCGCTATTTTTCCAGCAAGGCCGAGGGGCTCGAGTTCACCCAAGATAGTTTATATGAGTCTACCAAACTATAGAGTACCAGGTCATCTATGAGTTTTCACTGAGAATACTAATAAAACAGTAAGTAAATAAGATATGGAGTTTTACGTGAAAAAATCCCTGCTCAAGGGGATAAAAAATCACGACCTATACTAGTAGGATTTCAACTTCACCATGAGCAACTTTTAGATTACAACCTATGCAATCTAGGAATTAAACTCTTAATCATATACTAACTTGTAATACACCTATTACAAGCCACTTTACAATACATTTATTACGAAGACTTCAACTCATGTCTAACTCTAGTCACGACACAAACACAAAGAGTTTTTGGTTTTACAAAGGGGTTCCTAAGCAAAGCTTCTAGCTAAGCAATTTGGGAATTACAATAAGAAAAATCACAAAGTTACAACTCAACTAAGGACGACAAAATACTAGATTTAGGAACTGGTACGTAGTAGCATTTAACTTTGTTCTTGAGGCTTTTGAGAATTAAATTCACTATAGCAGAAGGCTTGAATGCTTGAAGTGAATTCTCAAGTCTTCAAGTAATGTTTTGTTGTAATACTCTTGTTAATATACCTTTGATGACATCACTTGAATGATGTAAGCACTTGGTTAGTCAAAGGACAAGTGACTACAAAACTGCTACACTGTGCGCACTATTTCTGTGGCAGTCACTTTCCAGTTGTGCACAGTTGACTTTCGTACTACTGTCAGGGAAACACAAGGGATCAGGTCCATGTCTTGCTTCTCTATTTTCTACACTTGGAGCAATTCACATTAGATGGAGTTCTGGTTGGAATCCGTTCATTAGCAATGTATACCAAGTGTGTCAGGTTCCCTATCTGGCTCTTGACAGTAATTTTGTTAAATCATCAAAACATAAGGCAAAGACATTGAAAACACATCAATTTCTCCTTTTTGATGATGACAAACTTAGACATTGATAACATGTGTTTAGAGAAGAAATAACCAGATGAGGTAACAGTAACTTCACAAGTTCCCCCTGACTTTATGATTCCCCCTTAATCACATCCCTGTTTCAATTTATACTTCTCCCTTTTGGCATCATTAAAAATACACAAGCAGACAAACAGCATAAAGAAGTCCAGCCTAGCTAACGCATGCCACATATGTGCACACAACATGATAAAGAAGAGAAACAGAAAAACAAGCATTTAGATAACAAAAGAGGATAATATTTATATATAAAACATATGCCTTTGCTTCTAGGACTGTTGAAATCGGGAGCAATACTGATACATCCCATCCACATCAAAATAAAAGAAACAAAAACATCTGCCAAGTCATAAAAACAAAAAGAGACAATCCAGTGAGATTGTTGATGTACCGCCTAACCCCCCCCCCCCCCCTCCATTATTTTCGATGCGCTCACATTCTTCCAAAATTGTTTGAGAGAAGGTCTACTTCTTGGTTCCTACCTTGCCTTGCCCTAGTGGCACCTTGAAAAACTTAAACACTTGAGTAAGCAGAAACTCATATGGAAGACCGTGATTTCCATCCTTGAAGGTTGCTACTTTTTGCATATGTTCGATCATGATAGCAGGCAAGTTCACGGGGTTAAAGCCATCCAGTTGCTCCATTAGAAATAAGTCAGACTTGGAAGTCATGGACCTCCTCTCAGCACGGGGTAACCGAACTTTGTTCACCAACTCGACGTGCAACTGATAAACAAGGAGTAATGCCTTCTTGTGAACCTGGTCCCCCTTTTGGTTCGCATTATCCTTTACCACAGTATTCCGGAAGATATACCCACATGCATCTTTCACACTAGACACACCAACCGTAGGGACTTTAAGAATATCCCCAAGCAGACTCACATCAAACACAATGTCCACCTCATTTACCAAAGCACAAATATGGTCGGTATCAACAGGAAAGAGGCTGGCAAAAAATCTTTGAACCTCATCCTCATACACTTTGGGTGCATCCATTTGGAACAGATACCCCCATTGTTGAAACTCAACCATTGTAAGTACT